AACACACATAAACTTAATTATTTTTCCAACTTTTCTGCAAATCCAAAAGCAAGTTAAACAGTTCTCAAAGGAAAGCCTACAAAAGAGCAGTCCAATTTACTTATGATATGCCAGGCTCTGCTCGCAGTCTTATACAGGTTCACAACATCTCTATGGCATTTCCTTCTGCAGAAATACAGAGAGATCAGACTTGCCCAAGACCACACAGCTAGTGAGTACGGAGTTGAAAATCAAACTCGAGCAGTGGCTTACACAGATCTTCCACATGGTTAAAGAACTCTCTTCACTCTGCAGCCACCAAAGTGGGTTGGAATTAGCTTTGGCTGATTTTGGTTGGTGTGGATATGACACCCACTCTTTCCTGAATTTCTGTCCTATTGGGAGCATGGCTGAATGCAAAGAACAGCTCCGCTGGCACTTGTCTTGGGCTTCACACTGTTGATTGCACAGTCACAGGCCAGCTTCCCTTCATGTTTCTGTTCTTCAGAATGCTAAAACATTAAACAGCCTCTTGTTCTTCTTGAGGCCTGCTGGCTCCCAAGTCTGAGGCCTGCATCCAGATGGCATGGTGTATATGGCCACTGTCTTCTTCTTCTACCGACCTGTCTGTCTTTTACCAAACTCAAGCACAGGGGTTGCTTCCAGCCACTTCAGAGCTGGGCATGAAATCTACCTATGTATGGAGAGACTGAACTCTGTCTTAGCTCACAATGCAGAGAGCAGATGGAGGCACAGTGACCAAGAAGGGAACAAGTGCAGGCTATTATGTGTGGGGGTAGGGCTGTATCCTTACAGAATGGAAGGATTCAGGAGTTTATGAGATTTTAAGAAGTTAAATAAGGACAAAGGAGATATACACAAGGAACTCTGGGATGCCCTATGGGAAGACCCTTGTACTGGGAATAGCCCTGAGTATATGAGCTACAAAAAGGAGACTGCAATGTTGGGGGCATGGCAGAGTTCACAAAGTTGTCCCAAGCTCATTTTACTTCTCAATGAGGGACAAACTAATTCAGAGCCCTTACTTAGATTGGCTGTCAGTCTCACTACTAGTTTTCCTGTGCACAGCTTCTGCCATTGGTTTTTGTAGCACAACTTGAAAGTCATTAGGTGATGGGAAGACTGCAGTTACTGGCCATTATTTACATGCAAGTTGTAGAATCTCAGAGAAGTCAATGCTATTCAGAACATGTTCATCCTCTAAAGAATGTAAACTGCCCAACAGTCTTACTTGTGTTAGAGCATTCCTCTGAAGAAATCCTGAATTGAAGGATTATAGGAATGAACAGATCTGAGGATCTTCTTAATCTAGGGCTACTGCCGGTTGAGGGCAGGGAAGAAACATCGGAGAAGCCCATAACACCAGCAGCAAAACAGGGACTAAAACCAACATGTGTTCTACAGAGCATCTAGGTGGAAGGGAAGCCCTAAAGCTACAGGCGAGGCTACCTGCTACCAACATGCTGGCATCCCAAGCCAGGGCTGTGGAAACAGCAATCCTGTGTAATCTTGGTTGGTGTAGGGGTGCTGGACATCACTAGTGTAACATTATTACCACAAGTCAAATGTTCAGGTGACTGCAGACCAGTCAAAAGGATGACCCTGAGCAGTTACCTTCAGATAACACAATGTTTTCTGGGTTCCCTGGCTATCTGTTACAGAAATGTGGCTCCATTAGTGGTCATAAATTTTTGCAAAGTCAGACTTGGTGGAGAAATGAGACTTAACATTAAAACTGACAAGTATACAAATTGCTGGGTATAGCAAATCTCTGGCTGACAAATGGCTTAGAGACAAGTGTGTACAGTGGCTTTTCACCCAAGGAGAGGAAAGTATCTCCTGTTTTCTAGCCTTCAACTAACCCAAGCCCTTCTTGTGAATGTGGCACTGTGACAGAGAAACATGCAAGGCTATTTCTAAAGATTCCCATACTTCCTACTCACTGGAAGAATGCTGACTATTTGCTGGGTCAATGATGGTGTCCCCTCTTTCCCACCTAACTAACCACCCTATAAACTACTTCTGGAGTGATGGTTGGAATCTAAATTGAAACTCACACAGCTACACTTGTAAGAGCACAAAGAAGCTACCATCAGTCATAGCTTAATTTTTGTATCCTAGGGATTCAGCTATATCACTCATGCCTTCCTCACTGGACCTGATTCAGAAGAAACTGGGGTTCAGGGATGTATTTGCTTCCCATAGTCCATTGCTGTAACTGAGACAGTACCATGAAGAAGCCAGACCAGGCCCTAAGCTGACCTTAACCTCTGAGCTCTCAGACTTCAGTTCCTCACCTCTAGAGAGAGAAGAGCTTAAGTAAAGTTTAGTTTCTTTCCATTTAAAGAGACTATGGGGCTGAGAAGATAGCTCAGTGAATAAAATGATTGCTGTGTAAACATGAGGACCTGAGTTCGATTCCCAGAACCCGAGGAACTAAATTAGGTTGAGGGAGGAGCATGCTGTAATTCCAGCATTGTGGAGGCTGTGGAGGTTGTAGAGGCTGAGACAGGTGGAGTCCTAGGGCTTGCTGGCCAACTAGCCTAGCCAAATCAGTGAGCCCCAAGCCAATCAGAGACCCTGTTTCAAAATACAAAGTGAATAGTGTTCTTGAGGTTGCCTTCTGGTCTCTACCTGTATACCTACAAATATATGTGCATGTGCACACACATATCACATACACACAAATACAAACTTAAGGTGAAACCTAGAATATGACAGGTTACTGTTTCCACTGGATAGAAAATTTCCTTTTACATGAAAGATGTAGGATATGATCAAATATTACTAGTGTCTCTCTATTCTACTCCACTAGTGACAGACCAAGTATTGGTTGACTTCCAAGTATTAGTTGCCTACCTGGCTAGGGCAAAGATATTTCAGGACAGAATGGGGGCAGGGAACCTTTAAACTGTGGGTGTCTAGGCCTAGAGCAATCTGGGAATGTCAGCATAATCAGGGATTAGTAGCCTTAGAAGTGTGGAGGGGGGGCGGACAGGGAGAAACTCCAGCAGGTATGGCCTCTGCGGTCAGGCTCTCACTGGTATAAATGCCACTGTCATCACTGTAACAACAGCCAAATCCCAAGATACTGCAGAGAGGTAAGTGACCAAGTTCTTATTTGCATGCAAAACCCTCCATTTGAATATAATCAAGCAGCATTTCCAGGTATCACATTAGGCATCCGTCAACAAAGTAGAAAAAAAAAATTGTGCCAAGATACTACAACACCAATTCCTGTGCAAAAGTGCATACAAAGCTCCTGCAGGAGCCACCAGCTTCTTTGAGTTTGAACCCAATACAGTACTGGCACGTTCAGGTAGGAGTTCTCTTGGGAAAAATGGCTGAATTTGGCAAAGAGAGAGACAGGACCATAAAAACAAGCCAGTGCCTTTCCAGCTCCAGAATGCTGCCCCCAACCACAAAGGCCTGGGAGACAGGTGAGAGAGGATTTCACCTGCCACTAATTCCAAGGAAATTCACTTGCATGACCAAAATCAATGCTAAGGAGGGGCTTCCTCTTCTTTCCAGTTAACCCTCCAGGCACAAGAAACCATGGGAGCATGTCTAGAGTGATCATGTCTTAGGAAGTCAACCAAGAAATGACAGGAAGTAAAACATTCAAAATTCACAGAAGGGAGGGACACTGACTCTAGGCCACCAGTGTCTACTTCCTACAGAGCATTAACCAGCACACCTGCTAGCACCCTAAGAGAAAGAGAACAGGCATCAGCTCAGGCTGTTCTTGCTGAAGCCAGGCTTCTGACACCAGACTAAATGTGGGTCAGTGACAGCTTCATGGATCATATTTACTCCTACATATGAGGACACATAGCTTCAGTGCTGACCCTGGGTAGAGGTCCAGCTCTGCTGACTGGGCACCTATTGTAGGTATCAAGAAAGATGTCAACTGAGCTTATAGCCTTTGCATCCATAAATCTTTTTCCAACAGTCCAGAGCAAAGCTTCTTGTACTGCTGGATTTGTGCTAATTTATCCTTAAAGCTTTTTTCTTTGTCGTTTTTGTCTTGTTGTTTGCTTGTTTGTTTTTAGTTCCATGGTCACACGTACCAAGGTTATGGCACAAAGACTAGGCTTAGGGCCCACTGTGGAATATTCTGAAAGTGGATAGGGTTAGCCATGACAATGACTGAACACTGTGTCCAAGGCTGGTGGTATGGGACTTCTTCTCTGAGCTGCATAGCAGATGCAGGTGCCTTTGTACATGAAGTTGAGGGACAGCTGCAGTTCTGACAGGTGCGAGCTCTGTCCCACCAATCTGCTAATTCCCCTGTAGAATGCCTCCAAATTGTAGACGCCAGGAACTTGTCCTTACACTAACATATCTTAAAAGTAAAAACAAGTCACCCAGCAATTAACAATGAAAGAAACAACCGCAGGAGTGTGAGGCACAGAGCTAGGTAATAAGCCCAAGGTGTGAGGTCAGCACACCTTGGCTATGACACCAAAGCTATGAAACTTTAACCTTCCAGGCCTCAGTTTCCCCAATTGTATGATGGTGAGAATGTCATGCTGATTTGGAAGTGACATAAGCAATTACCATCCCCAGGGACATATCTAGCAAACAGTGAGATCTTAACAAACAGTCACTATTCTATGTGCTCAGATATATGCAAGCCTTTTAGAAATTGGAAGCCCTGGGTAGACAACTCATTCAAAACGGAAGCATATTTGGACCACAGTTATCCATTTATCGGGTTCAAAATCAGTAATTGTCCACCCGGAATCCACTAGGGACCGGCTGGGTGGTTCTCCCACAGACAGCCTACTCCAGGGAGTCAAAGATGTTTGGTGTGTGAAATAGTCACGCTGTTAACTCCGCACCGCAGGTGCTGCACTCTCCCTTGTCCTAACTTCAAAGACTTGCCTCGGTAGGCTCAGGGTGGCGGGTCAGGGCCTGTGGCGGCCTCGAATGGAATGGACACGGCTCTTGCCGATGCCCTTTTCACCCTGAAACGCCACGCCCTCTTAGGAACTCACCCCTCTCCTTTCGGCCTCGTAGTTCAGGGCGGTCACCCAGGCCGCCTGCCACTGTTTCCCCCAGCTATCCAGTGTCAGTATCCAGGAAAGAAGCGTGTCCGACTCCCGGCGCCGTCGATCATCCGGCTCCGCCCGTCGCCGGGGCGGGGGTCGCGCCCTGGCCAGCACCCACTGCGCCAAGTACATGCCCACCGTGCCCAGGGCCGCGACGAAGAGCGACACCAGGACGAACCACTGTACCTCGCCCAGCCACGAGCCCATGCTTACAGCACATAGCCGGCGCGCGCGCCCCGACTTCCCCCAGCAGCCGCGGCCCCGGGGCGCTCGGCACCGGCCAGTGGCGACTCAGGACATCCGCCGGGACTCAGGGGCGGGGGCCTGGGCCTGGGCCTGAGAGGCCGAGGCCGCGGGGAGGGCGGGGAGGACAGATCTGTGCCCCGAATCGAGGGCTGCGCGCCTGGGAACAAACGCCGGACAGAGACAACTGCTCCCCAAGCGCGGCTGGGTAAGTGCAAGGCAAGGCTTTTCCTTCTAGCTCACAGCCCCGGGCGTCCCGCCCGCGGCCTGCAGTAACCGCAGGAGGCTGGGCCTGGGGCGGGGCAGGGACGGAGTCTCCCTTCACAGCCCCGCCCCCTTAAAGGCCCGGAGGGCCCACACCTCCTAAGAGCCCAGGGTCTCTTCCACTACAACCCTGAGTGGTGGCAAGGTGGTGACCTCGTCGGGGCGCCGAGGTTGGCACATTCGACCCCAAAGGTTACTGACTGGCTTCCTGGCTGGCTCTCTACGGGCGCTCGGGCGCTCGTGGCTGAGGGTTGCCCAGATGAATCAGAATTCCAAGAATTTCCCCACCACTAAGACTAAGGTCTTTGCAAGGCTAGCCCTAGCAGCCTGCAGCTGCCACTCTAAAGTAGGCTCATGGTTGTAATGTGCGGACGATGTCTGTGCTATTTCAAGATCCAGCGATGTGCTTGTCAAACCCAGGCACTAGTTCAGGATGTGGATGGATCATTGACTTTGGAGTGTGTACGCAAATATACTTGTACTGTATGGTAGGCGAGATGTGCACCTGATACAGTGTATATGTTGATTAGATATGTGTGTACCCTGTATCCGTGTTTTGTGCATTTGTGACAGTCTTCTGCATGCTCACCTTGAGAAGAAATGTTTAGGAAAGCTGACAGAAATAATAGCCAAATTCCCCAAGACCTGACACAGCCTTAACTCTTAACATGGTTCAGCTGTGTTTTCTGCGGCTGTTTCAATGGAATTGGGCTTCAAGTTGGGCGGGGTAGACCTGACATTCAGCCTTCTCTTACTATACAAGGCAATTACTGGCTACATTAGGGGAGATATGGGCCTGGGATCAGTGCCCCCTCCACCCCTATCTTCGAGAAGAAACGTTGGGTGGCAGGTGAACAGAGGGACCTATGGAAAGAGAAAGGAATCTCAAGACTGCTGGGGTTGAGTTTGAACCTTTCCTAGTCAGGATATGGGAATGAAAACTCCCTAACCCTGTCTCGAAAAATTAAACAAAAAACAAGCAAACAAACAAACCCCAAAAAACCAGCCCTAGCCATGTCCTGCAAGCTATCATAGGCTGATGAGCATTGGCAGGCATAGTCAACAGGCTAGAGGTTCATACCTACTCCCAGTTCTCCTCTTTACATCTGGTATTTTAAGCAGAAACAAAGGAAATCTGTTCCCATTGGAAGAAAAGGCTGGTTATTTTCTGATCGATAGCTCGTTCTATGCACTTTGATATGGCTCTTACCAGGCACCTAAACTTGGGCACAGGTCCACCTGTATTCATGAGAGAATATGCCAAGCCCACCTGTGTTCATGTGTGTATGCTGGCTGCTACTGTGTGGGTGGTGACAAGGAGCTCATCCATCCTGTGTGACTGGTACAACCAGTCTCATTCCTCCATTGACATGTCTCAGAGGCTGCTTACCCAACTGGCACAGCTACAGGCTTGCAGCAAACTGCAAATTAACCGCCATCCCTAGTCTGGAATGTTTTGTATTTCCATACGTGTCTACAAAAAGCTTGTTGACATATAGACATGGAGGGTGTCAATATTTGCTCCTAGAAGCAAACTGTGAGGAAATAATAGAATGACACTGGCTTATGGGACAATGCAGGTGATCAAAACATGCTTACAAACAGCAGAAACACCTTGTAAGTCCATGAAGAGATCAGACCTCTCTAGTTCTGCTCTTAGAACCCACTGGCTCTGCTTTACTCATTTTCCTGGCAGAGCAGCACACACTTTTTCCACAGTGACATTCCTTGCTCCCCATCAGCCAGCTGTTTCTTTCCCACACCCATCTTTGATCTGGAGGGCAGACTACAGTTCTCCTGTGAGAGGTGCCTGCCCTCACCTCAATGGGTTTTATGGGTCTAGTTCTCAATCATGTTTGCCTGTAGCAGTTTGTTGCATTTACCTACTGTGTGTGTGTGTGTGTGTGTGTGTGTGTGTGTGTGTGTGTGTATGCCCGTGTGTGTGAATGCCCATGTGCGTTTCAAGTACATGCACCCATGCACACAGTGTGTCCTGGAGAAGGACATCAGGTGCCACACTCAACTTCCAGCCTTACTCCCTTGAGACAGTATCTGCCTCCTTTTTTTCAATTTATTTTTTTCTTCTATTCTCTCATACATTACATCCTGTCATCGGTTTCCTCCACTCTGCCCAGTCCCTTCCCCACCTCCCTTCTCCTCCAGATTCATTCCTCCTCTAATTTCCTTAATAACAAACAACAATAACAAAAAAACAGGCCTCCCAGGATAACTACTGAACACGCTCTAATAAAATACCACAAGACCAGACACAAACCCTCATATCAAGGCTGGATGAGGCTAAAGGGTCCCAAGCACAGGCAAAAGAGTCAGAGACAACCCCACCCCCACTGTTGGGAGTTCCACAAGAACATCAAACTAACAATAATAACCTATATGCAGAGGACCTAGCTCAGGCCCATACAGGGTCCATATTTGTTGCTTCAGTCTCTGTGAGCCCCTGTGAGCCCTGCTTTGTTGGTTCTGTGGGCCATGTTGTCCTGGAGTCCTCTACCCCTCTGGCTACTACAGTCCTTCCTCCCCTTCTTCTGCAAACGTCCCCTGGCTCTGCCTAGTATTTGGCTGTGGGTCTCTGCATCTGCTCCCATCAGTTGTTGGGTGACATCTCTCAGATGACAATTGGGCTAGGCACTGATCTATGAGTATAGCAGAATATCATTAGGAATTATATCCTTGACTTTTTAAATTTTTTTTCACCAGTTGTGTTCGGGTCTATCCTGGGTCTCTGGGCTGACCTGCCTCTGGTTCCTGGCCATCCAGGCAGTATCAGGTGTAGGCTCCCTCTCATGGCATGGGCTTCAAGTTGGACCAGTCATTGGTTGGCCACTCCCACAAGTTCTGTGCCACTATTATCCCAGCACATCTTGTAAGCAGGACAGATTGTAAGTCAAAGGTTTTGTCACTGGGTGGATTTCCCAGTCCCACTGCCTTGCCTACTTATAGAAGATGGCCAGTTTGGGCTCTGTATCCCCCATTCCTAGGAGACTTCACTAGGGTCACTCTCATAGATTCCAGGGAGTTTCCACTGGAATAGGTTTCTTTGTTGCCCCCAAAATGGCTTCTAATTCCAGTCATCTCTCTCAATACTCTCTCCCTCCACCCCTCCAACTCTCAGCCTAATCAATCCTGTTCCTATCCCCACCTGTCCCCAGTCTATCTCAAACGTCTATTCTATGTCCCCTTCCCAGAGAGATCCATGCATTTCCCACCTCCTCATTGAACCCTCCTTCTTAATTAGCCTCTCTGGGTTTGTAGATTGTAACATGATGATCCTTTACTCAATAGCTAGGTGGTGATGGTGCACATCTTTAATCCTGGTACTGAGGAGGCAGAGACAGGTGGATCTCTGTGAGTTCAAGGCCAGCTTGGTCTACAGAGACAGAATCTCTTTACTCACCCTGGAGCTAGGCTGATGAACAGCAAGCTCCAGCATTCTTCTATCTCTGTCCCTTCCCCACCAGCACTGGTATAGCAGGCATGGCCACATCTGGCTTTTTACATGGATTCAAAGGGATTTAAACTCAGGTCCTGGGAATGCAAACTTGTACAACCACTTTGGAAATCAATCTGGTGCTTTCTCAGACAATTAGGAATAGTGTTTCCTCAAGATCCAGCTATACCACTCCTAGGCATATATCCAAAAGATGCTCAAGTACACAACGAAGAAATTTGCTTAACCATGTTTGTAGCAGCTTTATTCATAATAGCCAGAACCTGGAAACAACCCAGATGTCCCTCAGTTGAGGAATGGATACAGAAATTGTGGCACTTTTACACAATGGAATACTACTCAGCAATTAAAAACGAGAAAATCATGAAATTTGCAGGCAAATGGTGGGACCTAGAAACGATAATCCTGAGTGAGGTATCCCAAAAGCAGAAAGACACACATGGTGTATACTCACTTATATAGACCTATAAGATAGGATAAACATACTGGAATCTATACACCTAAAAAAGATAAACAAGAAAGAGGACCCAAGGTAAGATGATCAATCCTCACTTAGAAAGACAAATGGGTTGGACATTGGATGTAGGAGCAAACAAGTAACAGGACAGGAGCCTACCACAGAGGGCCTCTGAAAGACTCTACCTAGCAGTGTATCAAAGCAGATATTAAGACTCATAACCAAACCTTCGGCAGCGTGCAGGGAATCAAAAGGGGGGGGGGGTCATATGAGCTGGAGAGGACAGGAGTGCCACAAGGACCAAATATATCTGGGCACAGGGGTCTTTTATGAGACTGTTTCTCCAAACAAGGACCATGTATGGATGCAACCTAGAACCTCTGCTCAGATGTAGCCCTTGGTAGCTCAGTATCCAAGTGGGTACCCTAATAAGGGGAACAGGGACTGTTTCTGACATGAACTCAATTGGCAGGCTCTTTGACACCCCACCCCCCACCCCAAGGGAGGAGCAGCCCTGCTAGGCCACAGAGGAGGACTTAGCAGCCAGTCCTGAAGACACCTGATAAACCAGTATCAGATGAAAGGGGAGGAGGTTCTCCCCTGGGTGGAGGTTCTCCCCTATCAGTGAACTTGGAAAGGGGCAGGGAGGAGATGAGGGTGGGAGGGTGGGATTGGGAGGGAAAGAGGGAGCAGAATACAGCAGGGATACAAAGTTAACAAACTGTAACTAATATTAAAAAATAATAATAATAAATAAATAAATAAACTCAGGTCCTATACAGCAAGTGCCCTTACCCACTGATCCATCTCCATAGCCCAGGCATAACCACCCTTCAATGCAAAATGTGACTCTGAGTTTCTGTGAGTAGGTGGGATAGGGGTCTGTGCATGGAGGAGGAGCCTAGGTGTGCTGGCTGCTGATCCTGAGTCTACTCTCCCATATGGTAGCTAGTGAGTGATTAAGCAAGGCCTCTTCTGACAGGGATGACACTCCAAGACCCAAAGATACAATAGCTAGGTGAGACACCTGGTAGGCACTCATGAAGGTCAAAGCTGTGTGTATTGAACCTCAGCTGCCATCAGATCCTGCCCAAAACACTCAGTTTTATGGACTCACTTCCTGATCATGGTGATACTGGAAGGAAAACATTGTCCCACTTTAAAAATAAAACTTAGTGCCGGGTGCAGTGGCACATGCCTGTAATCCCAGCACAGGGGAGGCAGAGGCAGGCAGATCTCTGTGAGTTCAAGGTCAGCCTGGTCTACAAATAAAGACCAGGACAGCCAAGGCTACACAGAGAAACCCTGTCTTGGAAAAAAAAAAAAAAAAAAGGAGAAGGAGGAGGAGAAAGAAGAGAAGGAGGAGGAAGAGGCAGAGGCAGAAGAAGGAGGAGGAGAAGGAGAAGCAGGAGGAGGAGGAAGAGGAGGAGGAGAAGGAGAAGAAGGAGGAGGAAGAGGAGGAGGAGGAGAAGAAGGAGGAGGAAGAGGAGGAGGGGGAGGAAAAGCAGCAGCAGCAGCAGCAGCTTACTTCAGGGAGGAAGAGGAACTTGTCCAAGGCCACGAGAAAATGGCCGAACCAAAGTTCAATCCCTTTGGGTTGTCACCAAACTCAACTTTCAGCCCTACTTTATAAAGACAGAGGCAAGCAAATTTTATACTTAAAGTTTCAAAGGCTGGAAGTAAGAGAGTCCCCTTTTTTCCTGAACACAGGCAGAAAGTTACCTAAAGGAACATATGTGCTCTTAAACCTGAGAGATCAGTCATTGAGGAACCCACTCAAGGAACAGTATAGAGTGTCTGTAGGTCTCAAGCCTGTTCTGGGAACTACCTAGATGAATCCAGTCCTAGCACCTCTCTGGAGCTGGCCATGCAACCAGACAATCATCTTGAGTGGTCAGCATCCTAATGCAGGTACCCATCAATCAACAGGACATGCCTTCAGACCCCACCCAGGTGACATCTGTTAATGAGCCTGAGTCACAGAAACATTGAGGCAGTGTGGTCAGCATCTGAACAGGTCCACCTGCCCTGGGCAGGCTGAGGAATCACTCATGATTCTGCCCAAGCTGAACATGCAGAGCAATGTACCTGGCTGAGAGCCTGCCTCTGGCAGGTAGCCTGAGTAAGCTTCCCAGACAATTTCCCAGGACCAATTGCTTGTATGATTGGGTGGGATCACTCTCAGAAGCCAAAAGCAGGAAAGCAACATGCTGAGATAGTTCTTCAAAAATTTCCCTTTACTGTGGGCTTTCCCAACTCCAAGGAGTACTGCTTCCTCCTGTGCATGCACATCTGAAGTCTCATGGCATAAGCCAGCCTGGGAACTGACACCAAGCTGGGTTCGACATTAAAAGTAGAATTTGTAGAGACTTAACTAAAAACTAAAAACTTAAGTATCCCGTCATGGATTCTTGATGGGCTTCATGTAAAAGTTCCATTAGAGGTAGTGCATGGTCCCTGCTTTCTGGGAAAGGTCTTGGGGGCCAGTTTCTCAGAGATGATAGATCTGCCTCTGCATCCCTGCTGCCAAAATTGCCAAAGGACTGATGCTATGATATGCTTTGATAGATAGGTCTGGTTGTAGCTTTCCACAATACCAGACTTTATTTAATAACAATAGATAAATAAATAATAAACTAATAAAGAAATAAATAACATTATTTAATAACAATAACAACAGAGTCACAGGGTTTATTGGTTTTAATAGCAGCAATTTTCCAGATAATCCCATCTACCTTGGGATTCTGGGCCAGGCAGATGCAAGTCCTTTTACCCAATCTTTTTTGTTTATTTGTTTTTTGAGGTTGGGTTTCTCTGTGTAGCCTTAGCTGTCTTGGACTCTCTTTGTAGACCAGGCTGGCCTGGAACTCACAGAGATTCACCTGCCTCTGCCTCTCCAGTGCTGGGATCACAGGTGTGCCCCATCAAGCCCAGATCCTTTTACCCAGTGTTTATATTAATGTTAACTCTTACATTACACAGCCCACAGTGAACATACATTCAATCTCCAAATATGTGGTTTACATAATGGAACAAGTTAAAAAGGATGCAACAGAGGTCAAAAGATCTCAGAAATAAGCTGATAGAAATGTTAATAAAATTTGTTATAGATAAGATAATGAGCATGAACCCAGACAGCAAGGAAGCTGTTAGTTTAGAGAAACCTTTTGAGAGTTAGATTTGAGAGCAAGGCTCAGGGTGGAGCCCAGCTAGCTGCAAGAGCAGAACATACCAGAGCAGAAAATAGTGGATTAAGATCCAAAGGGTTGAACAAATAGGTGGGCAGGCAGTCAAGCATGCTACATCAACAGCTGAGGTTGATCTGATCTGAGTTGAAGCTCCAAGGAGAATCAGGAGTTTCCTGTCTGTCTGTCCCTGACACACACAGGTTGGTGCCATCCTAGTGTTACATGTTCATCTTTGTATGGGGCCCAGTTGAGGGAGTTACACTCTTTTTTTCTCTCTGGCATGTCTAATAACTTCCTGGGCCTGATGTTCTTGATATGATTTTGATGTACCCCAAATGCACCCACGTCTTAACTCAACCCACTATCAGCCCTTGGATAGAAAGGTGACTCCCTTTCTATTCTAAGGACTAAGTCATTTATCAGTCTATGATGGATGGGTGGTGCCTGCAGATGGTGCAGTTTGTTCGTCCACCCAGGGGCTACAGTCATCACCCTCCCTCAAAATGGGAGTCTCCCAGATCAAGGCACAGCCAAAAAAACAAAACAAACAAACAAAAACACCACTGTTTTATATAATCTGGACTCACTTGCAGTAAGGTAAAGCCTAATCTCAGCAACTGACCTTGGAATAAGACCTTAGCTGGACTTTTAAGGCAAGCCTACGGGCTCTACTAGAGAGTCGATCCACAAAGAATGGACAGGACAGGCTTGGCCACCCAACTTGGGGCGTAGGGTAGCGTCTCGTGCCAGGAAACAGTGTGTGTTCCTTATAACTGATGTTTATCTTGAGTTCTGGCCTAATGTTTTCCTTTGTGAAATTTTGTTTTGTTTTGTTTTTGTTTTTTGAGACAGGGTTTCTCTGTGTAGCCCTGGCTGTTCTGGACCCACTTTGTAGACCAGGCTGGCCTTGAACTCACAGAGATCTGCCTGCCTCTGCCTCCCCAAGTGCTGGGATTACAGGCATGGGCCACAGCGCCTGGCACTTTGTGCAATTTTTAAAAAGCCTATTTGAATATAGAAACAATCCATAGAGAAAATACCCTCTTTAAGAGTTAAAGGACACAGGGGTAGTGGTAACATCTTTCATCCTAGCACTGGGGAGCCAGAGGCAGGATTATTGCAGGTTCAAGGCCAGTCAGAGCACTTTAAACTATCAAACAACAGCAAACAAGAACAACAGCAGAAAGCGCTGTGGTGGTACACACCTTCAATTCCAACATGCAGGAGGCTGATGTAGGAGGACCCTGAGCCCATGACTATCCTAGGCCAGCAATATCCTGTATAAATAAATAAATAAGTGGCTGAAGAAACTATTCAAGGTACACACGAATACCAGGGGGTGGTACATACCTTTAATCCCAGCTTCCCAGGTGGTCGGGAGTATAAATCACCCCAGGTTATTTTGTTTCTTCCTTCTGGACACACAAATCTAGAATACAAACAACAGAGGAAAGAATAAAAACAAATGCAGCCATTAATAGTACTTAGAATTTGACTTTCATGGCTAGGAAGACAAAAGACAACCTCCTCCTCTCCCTCTGGGACCCTCAGTTACCTCCTCCCTGATGCCTGGTGTTTCTGCAGCCTAAAGGAAGAGCCTGGAGACAAAAGACTGGATCACTTTGCCCTGATACTGTTTTCCTGGCTCTGTGAATCCTGACTCCTAGAGAGACCAGCAGACTCAGTCAAAGAACCTTGGGGTGGTATAAAGACCTGAGTACCTGGAGGTGGTGAGTGCTCTATAAAGTTCTTTTCTCCCCTGGGCACATTTAAGAGGGCACATATCTCTGTGTAGAATGATGCTACAGAAGATGGCCTTTGACTCCAGTGCTCACATGTGTGGCCATGCCCCACACTGGAGAATCCATCAACATCCAGGAAGATGAAGTGTCACAGGCCACCTGTGTGCCTGTGCCTCAGGGGCTGCTGTCTCTGTTGTGCAGGGAGACACACAGACTGGCTTCAAGCATAACCCTGCTCTAGACTCTGGTTTTGATTAAGTGCCCTGGGTTTCCACCCTCTCCCTAGTGCAATGATGCATTATGCTTCTGACTAGGGGCAGGGTAATTGCAAAATGCCATCAAGCAGGTACTTCATATTTTCTGGGCCAGTGATTGTCTTGCTTTATCTAATTGTCCTGTTTGGGGTCCATCATTATATACCATAACAGATAAGTTTGTAATTGGTGTGCAGGGTTTTTTTTGTTTTGTTTTGTTTTTTATGGTTTTCTTGTTTGTTTGTTAGGGTTTGGTTTTGTTTTGTTTTTGTTTTTGTTTTTTTTGAGACAGGATTTCTCTGTGTAGCCTTGGCTGACCTAGAACTCTGTAGACCAGGCTGACCTTGAGCTCACAGAGATCCTCCTGTCTCTGCCTACCGAGTGCTGGGATTAAAAACATGTACCACCAACCTGCAAGACTGGAATGTCAATGAATGAATTTGGGTTGGGGAGAGAGGCACACAGGGGTGTCAGACTGAGAGTCCTTAGCACCTATATCAGAAGCCCCTTTGGAAGGCAATTTTGTTGGTACCCCAGAGACTCCTTAGCTAAACTACCCATAGAAACCCAGGGAAAGCAAGCAGGAACAGCAAAAACCAGCATTAAAATTCCAAGGATCTTAGCCAACATGTTAATTTTGGACTAGCACATAAGTAAACTGACCAAAGATGCTTTAAAAGAAATTAGAAACACTAAATGAAGCTGGGAGCATTGGCACATGCCTGTAATCCCAGCACTCTGGAAGGCAGGCAGATCTTTGTGAGTTCAAGGTCAGCGTGGTCTACAAAGTAAGTACAGGACAACCTAAACTATACAGAGAAAGCCCATCTCACATTAAAAAAAAAGGAAGGAAGGAAGGAAGGAAGGAAGAAAGAAAGAGAGAGAGAGAGAGAAACACTGAAAAAAATCAAATGCTGCAAGCTCTGAGTTTAGCTCTTAGAAATACATTTTGTTGTCGGGGGGAAAAGATGTACATCTTTCATCTGTAAGTAAGGAACATGAAGTCCAGAGATCTGGGTTGAAGCAAGCATCCTATGATTCTCCACAGCCAGGAGAGGTTACACCAGGTGCATCCAGGGGCTGGCTTCTCACAAACGGTCCTTCATTGGCTGCAAATTCACCTTTAAAAAAGCAGCTACAGTGACTAAGCCACTGTTCTGAGGACTGTGTCTTAGGGTTTATATTGCTTTGATAAAACACCATGAAGAAAAGCAACTTGGAATGGAAAGCACTTATTTTGTTTATAGTTCCATACCACAGTCCATTTATCAAAGGAAGTCAGTGCAAGAATGGAAACAGGACAGGAATTTGGAGGCAAGAACTAATGCAGAGGCCCAGAGTGCTAATGCAGTGCTGATTATTGGCTTGCTCCTATAGTACCCAGGACCACCTGCCCAGGGGTGGCACCACCCACAGTGAGTTGAGCCAACTCATAAATTGCCAATCATGAAAATGGTCCATAGGCCTGTCTGGTGGAGGCATCTTTTCAGTTGAGGTTCCCTCTTCCCAGCTGACTTTAGCTTGTGGTAAGGTGTCAAAGAACAGTACAGATGGTATTTTAGAGTCTTGGTCTCACTTGCTATGCTTTTGGGAATCAGCCATCCCTCTCTTGCTACAGAGGAGCGGTGGACCCCTGAATTCTTCTACAGCCATGCCCACTTATACCAACCAAGTTTCTCTTGCAATAAAGCATGGAAATATCCTCAGGGGCAGGTGCCAGGAGAGCCACAGTCCTATTTTATGTTGAGAGAAACTCAGAGAAGCTGCCCTCTGTTCCATTCTGGGTAGATGGAGATAAAACCTAAACAGGTTCCATAGGTGGATGACAGGAGAACAAAGAAGGAAGATGGCTGGTAAGAACAGCCTTGTCCCAGGAGTGTCTTCCATTCTGGGAAGTCCTCTGCCTGCTGGAGCCCAAAGTACCATGGGAAGGAACAAGAGCTGAGGAGGAAATGCCCTTGTTTCCCCAGATCATTGGCATTCACCCTGGGAGCACAGCTGTTGCTGTGGCAGTGCCAGCTTTCAGGCCCACAGTGAGTTCTACAGTACTATTATGAGACCCTGAGAGGCAGAGGGCCACAAAGATGCTTCCAGCAGACTTTTTTGGGGGGGCTGAAACTCCATTAAGTTCTATTAGAAGGAGAAACAAAATAAAACACAAAATAGCTGTATCCATTCACACAGGAAGAATTTCTCAGCTCTCCCCCATCCTCTCCTCTTTCTTCTCTCTCTCCACTCTCTTCTCTTTCTCCTCTCTTTTCTCTCTCTTCTCTCTTTCTGTGCATGATGCACATGCATGTCCCAACATCACATGTTGTTTGTCATACATACTCTACCTTGTTTTGAGACAGGGTTTCTCACTGGTCTTGAGTTCATAAGTAGGCAAAGCTGGCTGGCCAGGGATCTGCACTCCACCTCCACAGGGCTGGGATTACAAGCACTGGACACTGCTTGACTTTTACATGGAATAGGGTGTTGAATTCAGATCAACAGCAAGGACTTTACCAGCTGCACCCTCTCACCAGCCCTCCCTTCGGCTTTGAATAAAGTCCCTGCTTTGTCTTTCTCTGACTTGGTGTCACAGCTGGGGTGAGTAGAGACAGGTGGGGCTCAGGGTCTGGATGCTGAGAAATACAAGAACATAGCTCCAATATTTGGGAGAGCTTCATGCTGCACCATGATGTGAGGCAACAGAGGGTGAAAGTAAGCAAGGCATGATCTACCTCTCTCAGGACACCTGAGCCAGCTACATGACTCACATGTTTCAGGACAGCTAGCCACTCCATGGGCCTCAGCACAAATCCTCATTGCCTGAGCTCTCTTAATGCCCACTGCCAATGTTGCATTAAGAGTTGTTTCCAGCATGAGAATCTGAGGGAGCATGGCTTCTACTGAAGCCATGGTATCTGAGTTTTCTTAAGGTATCTGAGTTGAAGGTGTCTACTGAATGACTTCTATATCAGCCCAACTAAGATGTCATTGTACTTAGCTGCTTCCCAGATGCCTCCGAGCAGATGTTCTGTAATGGTGTTCTGCTCTTGACTGGCTTTGATGTTAATTGCTCTGGTCTGTATTCTATTTAGTACAGTCCCTTATATGAAGGGACTCATACTAAGGAATGAAAATGGAAAAGGAAACCTGTGAGTTAAAGCATGGGGATTTGTTTGAAAAAAAAAAAAAATCCAGACCTGGGTGTGGTGGCTTATGCCTGTAATAACAGCACTTGAGAGTCTGAGGCAGGAGGATCACTGTGAGTTTAAAGGTAGCTTAGACTACAGTGTAAGACTATGTCTCAAGAAAACTAAGTATATTAGTTACTTATCATTATGGTGACAAAATACTTGACAAAAGCAACTTAAGGAAGGAAGGGTTTGTTCTGACTCACAGTTTCAGGGCATACAGATCATTATGGTGGGGAAGTCAAGGTGGCAGGAACTTGAAGCAGCGGGTCACACTGTGAACATGATCAGAGAGCAGAGAGCTCTGAATGCTGGTGCTCAGCTCTCCTTCTTTTTATTTATTTACTTCTTAGGTTGGGATCCAAGTCAGCCTAATCTAGAAACTACCTCACAGACATGCCAAGAAGTTTGTTTCCATGAGTATTTTAAAGCCCATCAAGTTGACAACCCGAGATCTCATTAAGTATTCAAGCCAGATATGAACTGATAAAGATGGTACCAGGGCTCTCTGGCTCTTACCTGTCCTGGATCCTCAGGGATCACATGCCTATGGTGGAGCCTGAACATTACATGCTGAGTCTCCACTTGTCAATCCAGGAGCGGAAGGAGACCACGGTGATGGTATGGGGGTCAGAGGACATAACAGCGTTCTACAAAACAAGATGTCTCAGATGCAAAACAAAATGTGTGAAATCAGTTTTTAATTTTTATTTGTTTTCACTTCTCATTTTCATCTTTTGTTATAGAGTCAATGTTTATTCCCATAGCATCCCTGTTTTGTCCTTACCCCTGTTCTACATGCTTTCAGGCCAGTCTTCCTTGCTGTACCCCAGGGCTGCTTTTCACTCACCTTGGAGAGACTGGGGGTCAGGTGAGGTTCCTCAGGTCCTTGCTAATCTCTTCATTTCCCACCAGTATGTGTTCTAGAGTCTTTCTTGTCTCTCGACTGTTCTTTGTTATGTTCTCTTCAATGAAGGCTTTACTATTCTCCCACCTTTGATATTATTTGCAAAGGTGGTGGGCATCAGAGTGACTTCAAAATCTTCATCATCTTGATGGATATTGGTGGCAGAGGAGATGTCAAAGACGTGGAAGAAAAGTCAGTGAGAGAAACTGGCCCTGGGCCTGCATTCTGAAGGCTGGTTCCCCACGGATGGCCTGTGCTTGGTACACACAGCTTTATCTTGGCCACAAGTGTGCCTGATTCTGAGTGCTCACCTGTGGTTCCTTTCTCCAATACCAAACAGATCACTGAATGCACAAAGAAAACAAGGCCATTTGCTTCTATTCATCCTTAATTCAGCACTCTAGAGGCCATAGCCTATCAAACACCAAGTATTCTGGGTCTCACCTGAGAAGAGATGAAATCTGCCTGAGGTTACATGATTGAAGCCACAAGACAATGTCCTCCTGACCTACCTTGTGGCTCAGCTTCATTTTGGCATAGCCTGTGCCCAAATGGGCCTTGACATCATTCTACCTCAGATGCTTCATTGAGTGACTCTGGGGGAGGGTGGTACCATGCTGGGCAGCATTCACAGGTCTTAAGTGACACATTATTCTTGGCAGCAGACTTAGACTAATGGGTGGCAGGAGGTGGAAGTTAACTGACAAATGCTCACTTCTGTGTCTGCAATGCTTTCCTCATCCTCAGACTATAGCCATCCTGACAGAATAAGCTATTCAAAGAGACACACACCTGTGCCCTCACTTTAGCAGTCAAACTATGGAAACAGTGGTTCCCAAGAAATTAGAATTTCTGCAGGGATCTTATGCTGGGAGGAAAAGGCTGAAGCCTGGGGCCACTGAACCATTTAAGGAGGAACCTGGACAATCAGAGATTTCACAGAGTTCTGACAACTTGTTAGACCACCTTTCAGAAGTGATTACAGTTGGGACAATGACAGGTTAGGGATAGGCAGCACCACACATTGACCAGGACTACTTAGCTATGTATGCCTTTTACCTAAAACTCGTGTACATGCCCTAAATGGCATGTGTGGTTACTAGATCTCTATGTCTATAGCTCTCCCCAATGTTGTTACATTAAGTGCATCTCCTTTCTCTGCTTTTCATTATTACTTGTCATGTAAGCAGCCTATTGAGGACAGGTTGCTAAGTTTGTCTTGTCAGGATCACCAGGGTCCAGGCACTGACCTTAATTACTCCTCTAATGAGAAGTTCCCGATAGAAGGCTTACCTACAGCACAAACAGCTCAAGGGAAACCTGGAAGGCCCTTACTACCTGTGTTGCCCTTTTTGGGGCCCTGGGGAAGCTTCCCAACATAGACTAGCAGGGAATAGCTCCCACTCCTACGGAAAAGCTCTAAGGTGGGCCTCAGAGCCATAATCCTGAGCTAGAAAGAGGTGTGTACAATAACAAAATAATTCTGCAAATCCCACAGGAGCAATTCTCCATATTTAAAAAAGGTTGTTTTCTTTTAGAACATCAAAGTAGCTAAACATACTGAAAGGTGAGAAAATAGGCATCTCATAATATTACTTCAGGATAAAAATATTTTACCAACACCAGCATCAGACTTTATTATAATTTGACTTTGTTGGCTTTTATAAAACAAATACATCAGCATGCTAAGTGTGCTGCCACATGCCTATAACCCCAGCATTTTGGAGGTATAGAAAGATCAGGAGTTCAAGACCAGCCTTGGCTACCTAGTGGGTTAGAGGCCACCCTAAGCTATATGAGAATATATGTCTCAACTCCCTCCTCAAACAACAAGAACAAGAACAAAAACATCAAAACCTGAAAGCAGCAGTATTTTCAGCACCTGACTCTTTCCTACCTTTCAGTTTGGATCACTTCCATGTCTGATAATTGTTCTTCAAAAGTGATGATCAAAAATATTTTTAGGGAAAGTGAGGAAAAGCACTTGCTGCCAAATCTGATTGCCTAAGCTTAAGTCCCAAAACCCAACAGAGAGAGCTGACTCCTGCAAGTTGTCCTGGACCTCTACATGCAAGCTATGGCATGTGTGCCCCTTCCCCAAACCCACACACATAAACAAACAAACAAGTAAGTAAATAAATGGCTGGAGAAATGGCTCAGTAGTTAAGAGTATGAACTACTTTTGCAGAGGACCTTAGTTTGGTTCCTAGCACCATTAGACATTTCACAACTGCCTGTAACACCATCTCAGGTTTCAACACTTCTGTCCTCCTTGGGAACTCACAGTTACATACACACAGAGAGACACATGCATAATTAAAATTAATAAAAAATCTTTAAATAAAGAATTTTATATTTTTATTAAATATTATTTTTAGTATTAAGTAACACTAAATATCAAAATTTTAGTAACTGGAGCTGGAGAGATGGTTCAGCTCTTCCAGAATAGTGGAGTTTGGTTCCTGAAAGACCCCTGCCCCACCCTAAAGTTAAACATAGCTAACGCCATTTTATGGGACACCACTGTTTTGTAAAACTCTGTAGGCTAGGTGGGGAACTGGAAAATTACTAAGAAACCCCCAGCTGTGTCACCCACTTGGGATATCTGCGGTCAGGCTGCCCCAGTCGAGCTAAAAACAGTTTGTGTTAATCACCCTCATGGATATCTGTGAGACTGTTCCAGTTAAGATAAGGGTCCTAACGAAAACAACAGGTGGCGGGCCAAGTTAAGGGGGTCATCATGACCGTTTCGACCACCCAGTTCCTGGAATCCTGGCGTCCCTGCCAAACTCTGACTCAAACTGTGGTCTCATGTAAATGTACCAATCAGCCCCCTATAACCATGCTTCTCGCTTCTGTACCCACGCTTATGCTCTAAAACCCTATAAAAACCCCAGCATTCCACCCAGAGGGCGCGCAAGTCCTCCGAGTGACTCTGCTGCCCCGGGTACCCGTGTATCAAAATAAAAGCCTCTTGCTGATTGCATCCGAACGCCTGGCCTCGTTGTTCCTTGGGAGGGGGTCTCTCAGACGAAAGATACCCTCCGGGGGTCTTTCAGTTCCCAGTGTCCACACTGGACAGACCATAATCACCCATACCTACAACTCTAGGAGATCTGATGCCCTCTTCTGATGTCTGCAGACATTGCACTAACATGCACATACCCAGCCACAGACAGACAAATAATTAAAATAAATGTAAGAAATTAATAACTTTAAAATTAATCAAAATAAAAAAATCTATCAAAAGAAGCTATTACACATGGAAACTCAACATTAAGATTATATAAGAACTGTTACATCTTTGGGTCTGGAGAGATGGATCAGGAGTTAAAGAATATTAGCTGCTCTTTCAGAGGACCAGGATTTAGTTCCCAGTATGCACGTGGCAGCTGACGACCACCTGTAATCCAGTTTCAGGGAACCAACTTCCTCTCCTTGCCTCTGTGGACAATATCACCTCTTTACCAGGGTCTGTTTCTTGAGAGCTTTTGGGTCATCTATTTTATTTGTATTTTTTATTCAAGGCAGGAAAGCTGGCCCATTCCTAGTAACTCATCTGGCCAGAAGACTCCTTAGCTTAAGGCTTTTCATGAGTGTGTGTGTGCTGCATGTACAGGTGTATGGTTGCATGTCGAAGACAGTGATCAATCTTGGATGCTGCTCCTCAGGATTCATCCACCTTTTTTGAGGCATAGTCACTTACTGGGACCTAGAGCTCACAGATTAGGCTAAAATGGCTGACCAGTGAGCTCCATGGATCCTTTGTCTCCACTTCCTCAGAACCACCACACCAGAACTTTTTAATGTGCATTCTAGGACTTGAGCTCACATGCTTGAAAGTCAAAAGCTTCCACAACTGAGCCATCCTTGCTCCCTTAGCCTAGGTATCCTTTTTGATGTTTTTCACCTCTCTCATACTTTTATGTTTGTTTGAGACAAGGTCTCATTTTGTAGCCTTGGCTGGCCTGGAACTTTTAGAGATCCTCCTGCCTCTACTTTAGACAATTAGTGTCAATTTAGACACTAATGTTTTTTTTTGTTTGTTTGTTTGTTTTGTTTTGTTTTTTTTTTTTTTGTCACCTACTCTGTCCAGTCTCTCTCTCATTCTTGGTGCTCAATCTCTGGAGATTTTTCCTAATGTGTCTGCTTGTTCATTTACTCTTTATAGTCCTACACAAGTGTGTATCCATCAACTCATTTATTTTTCAGATTTTCAAAGTGCCATTTGTTTTTCCTCAGATCCACCTTCTGAGCCCCAATGATGTCCTGTTACTTGTCCTCCTCATTGTGCACTATTTCTTCTTTCCTGCCTCCCTTCTTTTAATTTTCATTCTTTCTGACCAAGTATTATGTAGTTCAAGCTGGCCTTGAATTCATTGTGTAGCCCAAAATGACCCTGAACTTCTGATATTCCTGCCTCTACCTTCCAACTACTAAGTTTACAGCCATGGGTCACCATGCTTGATCATGCTGTGCTGAGGGCTGAACTCTTATGGCAAGATGGGAAGTAGAGACTGGAGAACTTGCTGGAAGCTCTTGGGCCAGATAGCCACTAGAGTATGGAACACAGAGGCAGAAACTAGAGACTATATCTTCAATCAAGGAGAAAGGAGAATCAACTCCTAAAATGTTGTCTTCTGACCTCCCTATTTCTACTGTGGCATGTGTGCCCAGACCCACACACACAATAAATAAATATAAAAACTTCTGTTCTCATAGGCTCCAGTCCTCACATCTGTCAAA